CAAGCGATTTATTAAATCGTTCAAACGATTTTAAAAAAATTTTCTACATTGTTAAAATGGCACGAATACGCCGTCGTGGGGTTCGTATTCGTCGGTCCTTCTTTGGGTAGGTTTCTATGTTCTCTTTGCGATAAAGAAAAAATAAATAAAAAAGAATTTAAGCATGACTCTACAAAAAGTACAAAAGGGTCGGGTGGGATGGGGGATCAACCGACCTGTCAATGAAAAATTCTTTGCAGGATTCACAGTAAAGGATGACTTTTACAACCTCCCAATACTTCGTGCCTGAAAATAAATGATTTTGGGGGGGGGGGGGGGAATGTTGTACCTTTTCTGAACGAATGCCAGGCACATAGTATTTTGGGTGAGGATCATGTATCATGGAGAGGACTTATATATAGGCATTGTCTGTTGTCCAATTCTTTTGTGACTGTTAAAACAAACAGTGCAAATAAGAATACAAAAATAGGGAAATGGAAATTCGGTCCAAGATTTATAAAAAGAAAAAATGGAAAAAGGGGGGAGGGGGTCCACACCCCAAGTGTCTGCAATTCAGCCTATATCACTACGCATGTACAGTACGCTTTAAAACTGTCCAAACAGAATAAAACGAATCAGAATAATTTCTGAGCTGGTTCAAAAACAACACATTAAAAAACCAAAAGCAAGGGATTTTATCAAATTAATTGACTATTTTTAAGTCATATAAAAATCTTGAGAAGAAAAAACATTTTTTAAAAAAATGGCAACCATAAAAGGACAAAATCTCTAAAGTCGAGAAATGGGGGGTTCGTCTTCGTTGGTCCTTCGTCGGGTAGGTTTCTATGTTCTCTCTGCGATAAAGAAAAAATAAATAAAAAAGAATTTAAGCATGACTCTACAAAAAGTACAAAAGGGTCGGGTGGGATGGGGCATCAACCGACCTGTCAATGAAAAATTCTTTGCAGGATTCACAGTAAAGGATGACTTTTACAACTTCCCTCATACTTCGTGCCTGAAAATGAATGATTTTTTTTGGAAATGTTATCCTTTCTGAACGAATGTCAGGCACATAGTATTTTGGGTGAGGATCATGTATCATGGAGAGGACTTATATACAGGCATTGTCTGTTGTCTACTTTTTTGTGACTATTAAAAATATATACAATAGATATCAGGGGGACCTAATATTTTACTATTGAAAATGTTTCTTGAAAGCTGCTACCCCTCCCTCTACTCTTTTGTTGCGCAATAGATTATAAATTGGTAATGTATTTAAAAATGGTTGAAAAAAATGTAACCGACACCCCCCCCCCCCCCTACACACAAGAAATAGTATTTTCGAGTTTTTTTCAGGTACTTGTGTTTGATTTTACCCTGGTTCCACCCCCTCTTTCAAAAACGATACTACATCCGTGGATGTACAGTTAACAAAGGATGGAGTCTTGCACATTGAGGACAGTAATTTTATGAGTGTGGAGGACGCCTATGCTGCAGGGGTTACTATTTTCCAAAAAAAAAAATATTTGACTGCAGTTGGTAGCAGGAGTATACAAGAGCTGTATGATACAAGCAGTGACGAAGCATCGTTTTTGAAACAAGAGGCCCATGGGCCTTATAGGTCACCTGAGCATCATGTAACAACTTTCAAATGATTGAATTTGGTTCACACTTTAAGCTAGACGCTATGGCATTCACAATTTTGCAAGAGGCACCATTGCTCAACATGACAATACACTTAGCAATTGTTTAGTTTGGTTACAAAGATATAATGTATTTTCACTATATAATTAATCAATAAAGCCCCGCCCTAACACCAGAACTCCTAACCCTGGGGCCATAAAATTCACAATTTTGGTAGAGGCACTCTTGCTCATCATAACTATGTACTTAGTTTATTTAATACCCAGAAGCAGAGAAGAAGATTTTCAAAGATTTAATGTGTTTTCACTATACAATTAATCAATAAAACCCCGTCCTAACACTGAACTCCTAACCCTGGGGCCATAAAATTCACAATTATGGTAGAGGCACTCTTGCTCATCATAACTATGTACTTAGTTAGTTTATTTAATACCCAGAAGCAGAGAAGAAGATTTTCAAAGAATTAATGCATTTTCACTATATAATCAATAGAGCCCCGCCCTAACATTAGAACCTCTAACCCTGGGGCCATAAAATTCACAATTTTGGTAGAGGCACTCTTGCTCATCATAACTATGTACATGTAATTAGTTAGTTTATTTAATACCCAGAAGCAGAGAAGAAGATTTTCAAAGAAATAATGCATTTTCACTATATGATTAATAGAGCCCCGCCCTAACACCAGAACCCCTGACCCTGGGGCCATAAAATTCACAATTTTGGTAGAGGCACTCTTGCTCATCATAACTATGTACTTAGTTGGTTGTTTTAATACCCAGAAGCAGAGAAGAAGATTTTCAAAGAATTCATGCATTATCATTATATAATCCATAGAGCCCTGACCTAACACCTGAACCTCTGACCCTTGGGGCATAAAATTCACAATTTTGGTAGAGGCACTTTTGCACATCATAACTATGTAATTAGTTAGTTTATTTAATACCCAGAAGCTGAGAAGAAGATTTTCAAAGAATTCATGCATTATCATTATATAATCAATAGAGCCCCACCCTAACACCAGAACCCCTGGCCCTGGGGCCATAAAATTAACAATTTTGGTAGAGGCACTCTTGCTCATCATAACTATGTACTTAGTTAGTTTATTTAATACCCAGAAGCAGAGAAGAAGATTTTCAAAGAAATAATGCATTTTCACTATATAATCAATAGAGCCCCGCCCTAACACCAGAACCCCTGACCCTGGGGCCATGAATTTCACAATTTTGGTAGAGGACTCAATGCTCATTACATTCATGCCAATAGTTTGCCTGCTTGATGTCCAGGAGTAAAGAAGAAGATTGTTAAAGAATGCAAATTTTAGTTTTGGTCCCACCCCTCAGGCCCCAGGGGGGCAGGGATCATGAAATTCACAATTTTTGTTCCCCTTCACCCATAGATGCTTATTCCAAAATTGGTTGAAATTGGTTGAGTGGTTTCAGAGAAGAAGCTGAAAATGTTCAAATGTTAACACACGACGCACGACGACAGACGAAAGCGGATAGCAATAGGTCACCTGAGTTTACTCAGGTGACCTAAAGAGGGGAGGGGAAGAATGAGAAAAAAATCAACTTGCCTGAAAAAAAGAAAATTGTCAAAACTTGAAAATCCTATTTCAAACTTCTTTCGGTACCAAATTTTCCTAGTCAAACATGCTAAACTGCCCTATTGTCCTGATTTGACTATATTGCAACAAAAACTGTGGCAATCGGACTTTCAATGTACATTTTCTAAGACTATAGTAATATTATATAAATGTTATGTCTGGAAAATGTCTCCAATGCTACGTACCTGAATTAAGGCAATCCATAAATGTGGATAGGAAAACCATTATTCAGGAAACTTTAGCTGTGGCAGCCATTCCGTAATAAGGATAATTATAACAGGCATAAGAAAAATATTTTTTAACGGAAGTAGGCGTCACGAGACTGATATAATATTTTTTTTATTCTTGTTGTCAAGGAAAAGCTAATGACCTTGACCCGATCTTCATTTAAGAAATGAATTTAATTTTTTAAGATTCATGAGGTTATGAATGACGACGCTTCACGACGGCATATTTCATGAAGCGCGTTAGCGCTTCATGATAAATATGCCGGCGTGAAGCGTTGTAGTTCATATACATCCTGAATCTTCAAAAAATTAAATTCATTTCTTATATTTACATTATTTTTTTTTGATGACTTGCCATAAATTTACGCGATTCAAGTGTCATTTTTAAAACAAAACAGTGTGCACTATATTTTTCGGCGTCAAGAGCTATGTTATGTTATGTTATGACGTAACAATAGAGATATTCATGCTTATTCGTGGTACATACCTAATGTAGTTCATGAGAAAATGAACTGCATTTTTTTTTGTAAAGAATCATAGGGGAAATTTATTGGAAATGTAAACGTATTTTACTGATTTGTTTTATATTTATTTCTTCCCTTTTCTCTCAAAGACTGAAGATTCTATAGCCTTAAATAGAAATTACAACATTAAAAAAAATGTTTTTTATTTATTTTCTCGATCTGGCCTTGCCGTAGTATTTTGAATAAGCTCAATCAAGAATTTTATTTGCACTGCTAAAATGAAATGAAATCCAGAACCATGTTGTAATAAAATACAAGTTTGTCACATTGATCTTTGATCCTCTCGACTCAGAATCAATCTGGATTATGTTTTTGTTATGGGCAGTATGAAAGAGAAAAATTGAAGACCATTTTATGCAATGAAGGAATTGTGACCTTGACCTTTGACCTGAAATCACTAGAATTCGAAGTCTTTCTTTGTTAATAAAGAAAGAGTCATTGCCTTAATTTTATTTTAAGAACTTAAAACAGGCTTATCTCGTCATCACACTTTTAAACAATTTATTGATTTGAACTAAAGTGTACCATTTGAAAACATATAAAACTAATGCCATTGAGGCATTGACCCTTGTCCTCAAAATCAGAAGGTTTTCAAGTCATTGGGAATTATTAGGAAAGTTAAGCCTACAAGTTCTCTTAGAGATATCATCTTTAAACAACAGTGCTACACACAGACAGAATGATAAACACATAAAGATTTTAATATACCCCGTCATTTGCGTAAGCAAGAAAGGGGTGGGAGCGTGGGGGTAATCATTAGTTTACTTTATTTCCCCCTCGATTCTCCGTAGAATTTGAAACTGGTCTTCAAAATTTTGAGCACCAGTTTCGTGATACGTGTCAGTAATTCGATCATCATTATCCTATAGTTTAAACAATTATTAGTCTAATATTTTACTTTAGACATATATTTTATAAATGATATTAATATGAGACTTAAAGTACTTTTATGATACTAAGTTGGTCAACTAACAGAAAAAAAATCTGTGATATTTATTAACTTTCCCTATTACGAAACATTTTATGCACGAATTATCTTGTGTCTGACATTTTTGACGTCAACATGGACGGGAACTCAAAGAAAGAGAAGATAGCTGCTGCTAGAAAAAAGGTACTGCAACCGCTGAGGTCTTTTATGTTAAAATTAAACACTTAAGTTTGAATTATAAATGTTTTATGTAAACTATGCATTGTGGCTAACAGGAAAAAATAGTGTTACTGTATCAGTACTTTAACTAGCACTTTGTTGATATTTTGTGCTGGAGCTCTTTTCAGACCTTGATGATAATATTTAAGTATGAAAATGTCCCTTTTATAACTTAATGTTTATTTAAATCACTGACAAATATTTTTTCAGTTTAATTTAATGATTAATTTATTCTGACAAGAATATGCCATTATGATGTCTATCTGGTGTATTTTTCACACATGTCGGAATCATTGGTGTCGGATTACAGACTTTAGTCCCCATGACCCCAATAGGGACCTGTAGGTCCCTATTCCCCAAACACTACAAAAATACAGTTGTTCTTGCAGAATTGTACCGGGATAATATATAAGATTAACTGGTTGGTTTATTTTACAGTTAAAAAAATTCAAGCAGTCTTCCAGCAACAATTCAGCGAAGTCATCAACAGTCCAAAATAAAGACGTCAAGAAACAGAAAATACCAGAAGCCTCAGAGAGTGTGCAAAATGGTACTCCTCAGATGCAAGAACAACCCAAAGAGGTATACAGAAATAGTCATTTAGTACAAACATGGTATAAATGTACAGAAATAGCAAAGTTATATGGGTTCCCAGCAAAATTTTAACAGATCAATGAAAAAATTTAAGGTTATAGTGAACTCTGATTTAATGACTTAATAAGCATATACAATTAATTAGTTGTGTTCTGTAGAAGTTTTAAAAATGAAATTGTCTTCTATAATTATAATGAATGTTCATATTAGATATAAAAATTCAAATATCAAATAAGATAACATTAAAAAAATAATAAGTAGATATGCAACTTACATGTATTGATATAAAATATGACTGCTTCCTTTTGTAGGTGAAAGAGGAAACCAGTCATTCATTTCCCACAGAACTTGATGCAAAATTAAGGTAAATAAATAACTAATATAACCTACATAGTCTCTGTCAATAATATAATTTACCAGTAAAATGAATTATGTCGGCAGACTATAGTATAATAATACATGTAGTTCTGAATATTATCCTTACAGAACAACAGGATCTACTGAAAGTCTTCATCAGCTGTCCAGACAACTAAATGGCCTCATATCAGAAGTAGGTTGTAGTTTGGAATGTAGAGTTTGTAGTTCAGGTTCAGGAATCTGAAGTAAAGTATTATTAGCATTCCTAGCTATGAATTTTCAACAAGTGTTAATGTTGAAAATGCAATGTTTTATATTTGTCATAAAATGGATTTTTACTACTCAAAAATACATATTATGACATGATGAAGATATGTACCTCTAAGAAACATGAACGTCAGATATTCTATGAATTTTTATTATTTTTCAGCCACAGACTATGGAAGAGGAGGAAAATTCTGATGCAAATTATATGGAGGTAGAAACAATTTTTTTTTCTCAAAAAAAAAAAAATGTATATAGTTGTGAAATCAATTAAATAAAAATGAATATACATGTATATTTACTGCTATTCTAAAAAAATATTAACTTTTTTTTCAGACGAGGAACAAAGAATTGGCAAGTCAACTGCAGAAACAGATAGAAGAAAACCATAAACTACAAAAACAGGTCCATCAGGCAGTCAGTATCTTATTACGTTGTTTTATTCAGTTTGTACAGTTTAATATTTATTTGCTCAGAATCCTTTATTAATGAACTTCTTTTTCAATTGTCATTGAAACATTTGAGATGTCACAAAAGTTTCAACTGTTTTGGAAAATAAAACCAAGATTAAAAAAAAAACTTTTTGAAATTTTGTGATAAAACAAGGTAAATGTTCTTGTGATTGTCAGGGACCAACCTAGACCCAAAATTTAGGGAGACTTCACTTCTCCCTCAGAGAAATTTAGGGAGAAGTTTTGAAATTTAGGGAGACTTCTTGGCACGTGCGGCGCTCACTGATCATTAAAAATCTTTAAATTTTAAAAATGGAACTATTTCATTGTTAAAAACTTAAAACACATTTCAATATTTTTTTCTGTATTGACATCCTAGTAAAAATAATTATTTAAAAAAAGAGAAAAAGATCTGATTTTTTTTCCAATTATATTGTATATCTAGCAAAAGAAAAAAAAGAAAGAAAAACAACACAAAACAATGACTCTTTTTTCATTTCTTGCATAATATGCACAGTTAACTTTAAAATTCTATCTTTTAATTTTGAATTTTTAGGCTCATTGCATAGTCATAATTTTGTTACTATAGTATTTTTTCTTCAAAATTTTTTTTTCATTTTTTTTTTCCTGAAAAAAAGTTTTGATTGAACTCGGTATATCAGACGTGAAATTTCTTAAACGGTCAATAACTCCACAAATTAACAGTAAAATATGCCTGTATTCACAGCATGAATTAATTATTTGACAATAAAAAGATCTAAATCCTCTTCAACATCTTTGGCATGACATCGATAGCTGACCAGCTGTTTTGCGTCTGGTTATGCATAACTTGTAACAATTGGACTTTTTCATACCCGGAAGTGTAAAATCTAGAGGAGTTCCGACAGAGTATTCGATGATTTGGTCATTGGTAGCGAAACAGGTGCAAGTGTCCTGCTGTTTGGTTTATTTCAGCAGTAATAAAACAAGATTTATCAACTACTGACGATTCTACCATGTTTCTTAATAGATTTTTAATGATTTTTAATAAAGGGGTTGCAAATGTTAAGGCGACTTAAACTTCGCTTTCAAGATAAAGTATGGCGAAGTTTGGAACCCATAAGCGACTATTTCGCCTCAGTCGCCCCCTAGGTTGGTCCTTGGATTGTTTATTAATTTACCTTGCATTCCATACTTCACATATATTTGCTCACAGGTTTTCATAATGTGCTTGTGAAATTTTTATGTATGTTTTGCATGATTGTATCCTGTTTTATTCTAGAGAGAACATGCTCAGTCATTGCAATCTCAGCTGGACCAAGAAATGGAGAGTTCCACAGAAAAACAGAAAAAAGAAATAGGGCCACTCAGAGAACAACTACAGGTTAGTCCAAAATTTCTACCAGAGCAAAGCAGTATGTAGTCTAAAGGTGCACTATTTATTTTTTCACTTCAAACAGAAATAAGGGCCTGATTGCAACATTTCGGGAATTCAGATAGAAGTACAGAGAATAAGATCTAACTTAGGAGTATTTTAAAGTTTCGGTGTTAAGCATTACTGCATGAATTATCTTTTTTTAGGCGATTCAGTCTGATGTTCAGGTAGTGTATATATACTCCATCTTTTATTACCAGCCCTTCACTTCCCATTAGCACATTTTATTTTATGATTTATTTATTTATTTGCTTAAAATATCTATTGGTCACACAAAAACAGTATGTCAGGTTTTTTTTTTACATTATTTCTTATTTATATTTGATATATCAAGAAGTTTTGATACAAAGTTAAATATAAATAGAATTACAGGAACTGATGCTTATTAGTAATAGTCGATTGCTTTGAGAAGCCAGTGGTTCATCGATTGATGCATGTGGTTGCTTTAAGGGGATTGTACTTCAATATTACTGTTGAAATCTTCTTCTTTAGATTATGTTTTAAAAGTTCTAATAGTAATTTAATAGACAATATAAAAGGACATCTAGCAAAAAAATGTGTTCATGCAGTGCTGAATTTGGTGGAATATGTCTGATTTGGCAAATAATTGTTGCAGTATCATTTGTTACTATAGTAGTGATTATATTCCAGGTACACATACAAACTATAGGTATATTAGTGGCAGAGAAGACAGAACTGCAATCACAGCTGAGTCAGTCACAAAAGATAGCAGCACAGAGGCTTTGTAAGTCAGCAGTTGTTGATAGTAAATTTAGAACAAACTTTCACTTTCAACATGCAAAATGTGTGAATGGAATAAAGTTCAAGGTTTTTCTATCTATACATGAAACTGTGTTTGCATTTCAAAACTATGATTAAGAAAGTGAATATATATCTATAGATATTAGATATTTGTGATTGCTAAATAACTCTATTTATTATATGATTGAATAATTTCCATCTCTCTGATTGGCTGAGATCCAACTATGTTAGAAAAATACTACGTTGTATTGACCTGCACGTGACGTTCCGGGTCAATACAAGGATTTATTTCCTCTACATTGATCTAAAAATAGATTGGGAAATTCCAAATTGCTAGAAATTGTTTTGGAAATCTATTTAAACGACTATGAATTTTTTTCATGTGAACAAAACACAAGCGAATTTATATATTATATGTTAGGGTGAGGATGGTAAGAGGGGATGCAGGGACCCCCCTCCAGCACTTTTACTGAACAACAATTTTTTTTTTTTTACTTTTTGGCAGTCAGTTTTCCCTGATAATACTCCTTCCTTTCAAAATCTATCCTATAAAAAAGACAGACATAACATATTTTTTTCATGGCAACTAAAATTGATAAAAAAACAATTCAAATTGATACGATTGGTAAGGTTTATACACATTTTAATTCTGCTTCTCTCTTGTATTTGGCTAGGACTTAATAAAATGCAAACAAGTATAATGAGCTGTATCATTTTATCAGTGAATCATATAATAAAACACTTATTGCTGTTTTTTCGGTCAAATTACAATGATTTAGCCATCTTAAAAAGTACATATTCACCTCGCCCTTCGGGCTCGGTGAATATTGTACTCCTCAGATGGCTAAATCATTGTATTGACCTCAAAAAACAGCAATAACTGTATAATAGTGATGTATTATTGTTTACTTCTAGCTGAAATTGAGGACATCAGTTCTCGGTTGAAAACTTCCAGACAGAGAGTTGGTGACCTAGAAAGAAGTCTTGCCACAACCAACAACTCTGCACAGCAGTTTGAAAAAGTAAGCTTTTGTAACAAAAAATTATTTAATCAAAGATATGTCAGCATGACATCTTTTACCATTGATAAATTAAGGTTCATCGATACTCTGATAAGAGAGATAACTCTTAATGACATAAACGTCTATTATTCCTTTTTTATAGATTTGCCAAGTTGAAGTGTCTTTTTTGTCCAATTTTGCCCTGCAAGCTATGCTATAATTGTTTGTATTTCACTTATAAATTACATTTCTTTGGAAAATCATCAAGGTTCAAGCAACATTTTATATGAGTGAGCAGAGGGTTTATGAACCTTAATATATGTAAATGGTATTTTAAGTCAAGTTTGTTGTAATTTTGTAGAGCAGTAAAGAGTTTGCAAGAGAAGTTGACAGACTGAAGATGGATCTCAGGCAATCAAGGTATCACATTTTTTTCATATAATAAATATTATAGAATTAGAAACTGACAGTTCTTGCAAAATGATAGAAATGAATAAAAGAAGAAAACTGAAAATTAAATTTATTGAAGTTAATTGGAATTCTTATTATTTATTTTTGTGTGTTTTGTAGTAAAACCCAGGAGGATTTACATCAGCAGGTGGAAGAGCTGGGAGGAGAACTGCAGGGCAAGGTAATACATGTATTGTAAACTGGCAGGTATTATCATGTTCATTCCATATAGAGAGATACCTAGAGGATTGCTTTTTATTCTACATTTTATTTTTTTTTTAAGTTATTTTCACAAAATGATTAACATTACAGTAAAATGTGTTTATAGTGAAGTGCCAGGGATACACTTGCTTTGCTTTGTTATAAACATACATGTATTTCGTTATATCTCTTAAGTTATGGGGAATAAAATCCTTCGCTCTAAGGATCAGTTTATTTTAAGCATGTTTGTTATAGCAAGTTTCAATATTTACATTCAGTGTAATTTTCTTTATAAAATCCATTAGAAATCCATGATGTTCAAATCTCTATAACACACGCAAAACCTTGTCACCACGCGTTAGAATATAGAACTATATGCATTTTCAATACTCTAGAAACACCAAAATGTACATTGTTTTGACACAATTTAATAAAAAAAATTAACCCTGTTAAATTAACGTAAAAATACAAAAAATATGCATTTAAAATTAATTTGTCACTTTTTTCCTCGCAATCTTCCGTTTTTGTTATTTAACTTTGCAACGTCACAAATGGCTCTTACGGCTATAAAGCACACCAGTTTTGAAGGGTGCTAAATTCACATTAAAGATTACCGAAATAAATAATTATGAAAAGGAAAAATTAGAGAATGTAAATATAAGCATTGAATTCATATTTTGGGATGTCTTCGGTCCTATAACACACCTAGCCGTGCTGACAAATTACTATACTGTGCTAACGCGCGGTATTCAATTTGTCGGCATGGCCAGGTGTGTTATAGGACCGAAGACATCCCAAAATATGAATTTAATGCTTAAAGGAATGAATGTATATTTATTCATTTCCACCAAAAAAATTAAATAAATTCTCCAAATTAACTTCAGAAAATGGAATGTAGTCAGCTAGAGGAGACCGTCGGAGACCTGAGGTCAAAGGTGGAGATGGCGGAGCTGTATGTCCAACAGTCCTCTGGTCAGGGAGATAACAAGGAGCAGACACTACAGGCCATGGAGCAGCAGCGGTGGGAAACTGAGGCCCTCAGGGCAGAGCTCGCAGAGGTCTGTCTTAGAAAATGTTTTTATCCACTCATGTGAAATATGTTGCTTTTTTTTTTTCGTAAGTCCAGGATATTGGTAATATTGTATTTTTATTGAACTGTTGTAGGTTCAGGAAACCCATAACAGACTAGTATCAGAAAAGGAGGAGAGTATGAGGCATTATCAGTCAGTTATAGATCAGTTACAACACCATAACGCCCAGCTTACTAGTCAGGTAATGTCACTTCTCTATCAGTCAGTTATAGATCAGCTGAATACAACACCATAACTCCCAGCTCTCTATCAGTCAGTTATAGATCAGTTTAATACAACACATAACTCCCAGCTCACTAGTCAGGTAATGTCATGTTAGTTACAACACCATAACTCCCAACTGACTAGTCAGGTAGTCTCATTTCTCTATCACTTACAAATCAGTTACAGCACTATAACTCCCAGCTCACTAGTCAGGTTATGTCAGTTTTCTGAGATAGAAAGATTTATGAACTTTGAATCACAGGTACTTGAAGACAGGACTTAAAAGTCTTTTAAAATTGTTTGTTTCATTTGACAGATCACCTCATTAACAAAAGAAAGAGAGAAGTTGGTCACCAGGGAACATGATTTAGAAGTAGCAGTTCTAGAGCTGCAGGAAAAACTACGTAAGAATAGGCAAAACTTATTACGAATATCTAAAATTTATTTATTCTTCAACTGAATATGTCCATTCTCTTCCTAATTTTTTGTTGGCATTATCATAGAATTTCAAATATAGAACACTGGGCAAGATCTTGGTAAAATCAGTTTATTTGATTATGCATATGGATTGCTACAAATAGGACCAAGACTCTTGTCAACCTCTCAGAGAGTGATTGGCTAGATTGGACAATCTAAGATGAACCCAGACAGGATTTGAGGTCCTCTTTAGCGTAATCTAAGGACTGAATTTTGATCAGGTGGATATGTTCTAGAAATTTCAAGGCCAACATGAGAATTCTTGTAGCAATCCGGGATTCAGTTCCATTGTGTTGGCATCAACCGTAATCTTTCATGCATATTAATTTTTAGAAATAAGTCTTTACATGTATTAACAATTAAATATCTCTGCTACAGAGAACCTAGACACTGAGCAGACCAGTCAGCTGAATGACAGTGCCAGACAGAGCCAAGAGAAGATCAATCAGCTGATGTCTGCTGAGGCCGACCTTAAACACCAGCTAGAGGCCCAAGTACGGGACAATGCCAACCTCAGCAGGTAAACATCTCACAACTTTACATGCCTTCAGGAAATAAACAGCTTTTTGGATACTGTAAAAACAGAAATTTTTAGCCATGATTCAATTATGGCATTGTTAGCAAGGGAGTTGAGATAGTTAATATTAAATATTGCTATAACACTCATAAGATCACTAAAATTACTTTTTGCTAAAATTAGATATTGATTTTTAACCACAAATCCTTAAATTTGCATTTTGCTAAAAATTCCAGATATATAGTGTGTTTGTATTAAAGTAGTCAAAAAAAATAAACACTAAATCTGTCATTATTTGACAAAAAAAATGTTTATGGCAGGTATACTGATGAAGGCATACAAACAGCAACATTTTATTCTATCAAGTCTGTTAGAAATTCTTTATAAATATTGTACATGAACACAATGTAGCTGTAAGAAAAGGAAATGTCATTGAAGTATTGTCAATCACTTTTTATTCTCGAAAACTTTATTTTAGCATAATTACGTGAGACAGAGTGCTCACAAAAATATCATTCTCGCTTATATTGGTATTCTTATAGGATGTATAGAACAGAACCACAATTTGTGAAAATGTTGTCTCACTAATGCAAAGTAAATCACTTTCAAGTGAAAATAAGGTGTCACATAAATTAAGTGATTTACAGTATTTTAAAACTATTCATTGAATAAACTCCTCTGCTGAACAAAATTTAATTTAAAACTTGATTTTGTTTCAGGCTGTTGGAAGAAAAGAAGGAGAGGATCTCAGATTTAGAGGGAAGTCTGTCTCAACTGAAGAAGGAAGCAGAGGACATGAGTCAGCTGTTGGAGGGGGTACAGAACGATAAGACAGCCCTCAGTCGGGCTCTCACACAGAACAAGGACCTCAAACAACAACTACTGGAACTACAGAACGGATTCGTCAAAATGGTTAGCAAATCTTACAAAGTCATTTAATGACAATAATTTTTTTTATAGCAAGGTCAGTGAAGTGAATGGGAGGGAGGGTGTTACAGTTTAGAATTGGGTTTGTAGTTTAGAAAATATACAGAGAAAGAAGAATTTGAATACCATTTTAGTAAATGTATATGAGATACATGCATCAGATTCTTACAAAGTATGTGGCTACTATTAGTTACACAGTCAGTTGGGGACCTAATATAGAGTCGTACAGGGTGTGAAATGGAAATCCATATTGGGCAAGGCGAAGCCGAGTCCCAATACAGATTTCCATTTCACACCCTGTATGACTCCGTATAGGTCCTTAACTGACTGTGTTATGAATTTATCCTGGTGAAGACCTTTTTAAATATTAAAAAAGCTTAAAAGATTAAAAAATCAGTAATCTACAAAATTGTCTGAAGCCGGATAAATAAAATACAAATTTGGTACTATATTTAAAGATATATATGCCGTATTAGTGTTTTATTGCTAAAGAAATAAATATATGTGGTGTCTCATCAAGTAACATAAGTTATGTAATTTCTGCAATTAAGACAATTCCACTCCATCACTTTTAAAAGTTATGAAATATTATTTTGTAAAAATTATTTTCTCTCCGAATTGGATATTAAACCGCCTCTTATTGAAATATTCATGAACACGTGGTCTCGCATGCTCACAGCAAACAATGGTCCAATCTCGTGAATGAGCCGAAAAGCATGATGGTCTACTACGTTTTCACTACAAACACGTGGCTGGAAAGCCAATTTACATTTTTTAAAAACCTGTTTTAGAAAAATAGGAAGAATAGTTACTAATTGAGAATTCCCATGCTCACATTAACAAACAAATGTAATTTTTCTTGTTAGCATACTGTATGTTTCGAAGTTGTACACATTGTAAACATTGTCAATACGTGAGCACACCTCAGAGTTAGTTGCTTTTTGTACCGAGGAATATATATAGTCACGTAAAATTGTCTTTTCACTGTCAGTAGAGCACGTGGAAATTGTAAACAAACGGAACTGTACAATAGAGAGGGGAAAACTCTTATTTTTATCATTGTTCATTTGTATGCAAATGTTAGCATGGGATTAGTAGATAATAATGTACTTAATGCATTAAGCGTGTAAATGCTTGGGAAATGCACCACGTCTTTCTGAGAGCGATTTAAAAAACTAGCCTGTTCGAAAAACACATGTAGTATTTATGTACGGAGTAGTAACCCATAAATGCATTAAATACAACTCATTGAGCTGATTGGTCGATTTGTCAGTCTTGTTGGTTCCTCGCTGAACAGACGTCACAAAAAATAGTTTCCTCGACCTGATGATTCTCGTGATGCTTTTCCCGCGCACATGCGCAGATCCAACATAAACGTCAGTCCTTTATAAATATGCATGAGAATATTGTGTTCTTTTCCCTACCAGTACTTTGTTAATACCGAATAATATTTCGTCGAATTTGCGAGAATGCTTCATTTTTGATAGCTTATCATACTTCAGAAATTTTTGTTTGGTTTTAGCTGTGCAAAAATACTGTTTAACACGGCATACATATCTTTAACAAAAAATTTGGCAAAGTAAATGTTCCTGTTTCTCTATACAGAGTAATGACAACATGGAACTGATGACCAAGGTGCAGTCAGAGCAGCATAACTCCAGAGAACTGCTGTGTCGCCTGAGTCAACAGGATGAGGAAATCAAACAGCTTAAAGAAACAGTAAGTCTGCCTAGCATTGAATTGATTCAGTTTTATGGTAAAACAGTGTTGAATTTTTAATGAGGAGAGACTCTGGAGCCAATAATTTAGTCAGATAAAAATTATTTGGTAAAAAGAGTACACTGTTTATCCTCATATGTGATAGAAAATTATGTAAAGAAGTAAAAATGTTTTCAAATTTAGATATTTTATAATTATTTTTCAGATATCCAATAGAGAGAATTCTGTGATGGAGACCCAGAGTGTTGAGAGCACAGTCAAAGATGATCATCTCCAGGACAGACTGAGACATTACGAAGCTCAGGCTCAACTCGTGGAAACACTGCAAAGAGAACTCCATAATTCACAGGTAGGGGAATGATGAAGATCATAGTCAGGAATATATTTAATAAGTATGACAAATCCAGCTTTATATTGTGAAAGTTGTGGATAAAGTCCTTGATTTGCATGTAAGTTAATGTTGAATATCATTTGTATAAATGTAAATTATGGCACCTTCAATGTCACTTTAATAGAACACCACATATCATGCCATAAAAAACAGCCATAATAAGATACAAGTTCTATAACTGGCTCAGAACAAAGAAACAAGATATATTTCTTTACATGTTACAATGAAAACATAGGGTGGGGAATTATTAATTTTATTTGATCTTTATGATGATTTTAAAAAATTGTTTACAAGCAGGTGGATTTCTTATAAATCTTTTAAAATATTGCCTTGTAAAACATATGGAAGCATTATAAAATATGATTGGTTTTTAGGATATGATTGATGCATTAACAACACAAAACAGTGAATTAAGGACCATGTTGATCAAATCGTCAGAGAGAGATGACAAGGATGAGTCAGCACCGATGGAGGTGGATAACGACAGAGAGGAACTGGTATGTTAGACATGTAGCTTGTTTATATTATCTAGATTTATAGACAGCAGTTTTTAATTTCTTTGATCACTTTATAAAGTTTTCTTCAGTAATCTGATAACTGTTGATAGAGCTTTCATATTTCACTTGTGCATCCCTTGTGACACCTTTGGATACACACTGACCTCTTGACCTTGGAGTTCAACCTACATTTGCAAACACATTTTTCACCTTATGTGTGGTTTAAAAATCATACTGACCCAATCTTTTTCTCCCTCACTCAGATTGCCTCTCTACAAAAGTCTGTCAAACATTTGGAGGTGGAGCGAGAGCAACTGTACCAGAACTTGAAGGACCAGAGGGAGTTATCAGACAAACTCAGTGTTAACCTGGCTGACATGCAGGAGGAACTCATTAAACAGTCCAACGGTAAATAATAGGGAGGTTTTATTAATCCCAACACAGAATACCAAGCTCAATTTGAAGAGTTCCAAGTCTGTATTTAGATAAACTTTGATATTTATCTTCAGCAATTGTGATATGATTTTAAAAAACCAAACTGGACCATTAACTAGTTAACCTTTGTTTATTAGCCAGTTAGATATGTTTATGAATATTTCAGGGACAGCTGTAAGTTCTTTGGAGTACACCAAACTGGAAAATGCCCTAGAACTGATACAGGTATGTGAGTGAGAAAAGTTTGGTGTTAAAAATATTTTATTTGTTAGCTACTGAAGGATGGGAGATTTCATTCCTGGTGGGTTTTCAAAGAAGAGAGAAAACAGTGTTGTCTTGGGGAGGAAAAAAATCACTTATTGTTTTGTTAAAAAGATAATGTTAACATGATAACTAGTCGTCCTTTGGGAAATGAAAAACTGATTTGTTAAATACAGTTGTAAATGTTGATCTGTGATGTGGCATTCTGATAACACCACTTCTTGCTTAATCTGTAGGCCTTTCAACTAATTTTTCAAGTTGCACATATAGTAAAAAACATTTTATTGATGGATTTATAGGTACATGAAATTATCAAAAAAAGATAATAACTTATGCATACATTTAATTAAATCATTAAAAAGTTTAATTATTTATAATTGAATTGTACGATGTTGTGTTTTAAGGTAACTCAGTTGTGAAAAATGACCAACTAAGTGCCGATTTATGAGTTATCATTTATAGGAATGACATATAGGCTACTTCAGCATTTGTATTTTTATGTACACAAAAGGGTTCCTTACATTGTTTTGTACACAAAAGCGTTGACCAGAAGAAGGAGAATGTCTTCACTCTACCTGAAATAACACGGTCATATGGATGGGGAACAGACTATATTAGATATTTTTAACTCTCTTTGACGATTGTTATGAGGAAGAAAATATAATGACATGTTTTTTTGTGTGCACTTTTGCGTTTCCTATATAAATATATATATTTTTACAAGTAAATGTAACAATTAATTATCTTATTTATGTTACCTAGCACGAAGAAGAATGACCGAGTATAAACATTTAATCAAGTTAGAACTAAGAAGGAGGGTAGATTTCACTATTTATTTTAATTAAAAATTTTACTTATATCTAATTAAACGGTGTCTGCAATTATATAATAAATAAGTTTAAAGTGGCACAGTGATGCACAAAAGGGAAAATTGACAAATGTAGAATTTTCGCATGACCTCTGTAAATTTTGTTCAATTCCTTTAAGTATTAGGTTTCAGAAAATTACAGGTTTCAGAGCCTAAAAATTAAATTTTTTATGGGGAAAAATAAAAGTAAAAATAATTTCTGTCTGCCCCAGAACGAAAATATTGCTAAATACCCTGGTACTTCTTCCTCCCTATTGTACGCGTGCGCAGAAAAGTGTTGAATAAGTTTCCATAGTTACCATGGTCTCAGGTATCCACGAATGAATATAAGTAGACCAAAAAATTTGATGTAATCTTTTTAAAAAGTTGTTGGAACATATTTCTCACCTTTGCATGCTCCAGTTGAATTTTGTTTACAAGTTTGAGTTAAAAATAAGAGTAGCGTGACCTTGACATATACGAAACAACGAAACGGTAGATACAGCCTTTGTTTTTCCGGCACTTACATTGTGCAGTCAATTCTTGCAGTTTAATTGTCATATCTTCGCTATTACTCATAATTTTCGTAAGTCTTTCTCTGTATGCTACAGATATCTTAAAATTAAGATATGATTTTGACTCACTGTGCCGCTTTAACATTAGTGCTAAATTTTAAAACTACTGGATTCTATTGACAGCAAAGAAACACTTGGGAAATGCTACAAACTGACTTGCGTATAAACAGTTAGATACCTCGGACCTGCTCTAAACAAGTTTCAGCAACGAGTTATCGTTCATAACAGCAAACCCTAGCAGCAGTTGAAAGGCCTATAATCTGTGGTGTTGGAAATGAGTTTTCATTGAAAAAAAACTGATGATAGCTTTATCCAAGAAATGTTTGAAACAGATTTAGAACAGGCATGCTTAAAAAAAAGTCTTTGAATATACAGGAGAAGTACAATAAAGTGATGCGGGACAAGGCCGACCTGAGTGATAGAAATGACGAGCTGGAACACACTGTGTTACAACTAGAGGGAGAGTCGGATACTATAGGTAACTGTCAATATTTGGTTTCAAGATTGACATGCATTCTTTATGTGAAGTCCTTCTTATAGATGCTGGTGTATAACTAGAGCAAGGTTCTACAACAAATAATTCATGGTCATGCTTTTTGTATGGGTAAAGAGAGAGAGAAGAGTGAGAGTTATCGTCCATGTAATGTAATTTTGAATGCTACATTTAAAGTGTTATTGAATATTTTTTTTCTTCAGGAGAGTACATTTCTCTTTATCACCACCAGCGAGCTTTACTACAACAGAGAGATGCCCAGAAAAATGAATACATATCTCACCTAGCCAGAGATAGGGAAGAGATCCAGGTAATCTATGTATTACATGTCTATCTGGAACATTATTCTACTAGTCTCAGTCCACGTCAGGGATGATTAAAATACCTGTTTAGTTGAAGGTCAAGATTTACAGATATGTATCTCTTGCAAACACATTCACATAGGTGTGCCATCAAGAGATGTAAGCAATTAAATTCAGTGAATGTAATTTGGTGTGTGCATTTTTCATCCATCAACATTTATAATTCTTTAATAGCAGGGACTTCATTTCACCAAAACAGACAATAATGATTTTTATTAATAAAAACAATGGATATATAAGAGTATTTTTCTTAATTTTAGGGTAAGCTGAGTGAGCTACAAGTGTTGGTGATGCAACTCCTGGGTGAGAAGAACATGTTGAACCATTATCATGAACAGTCTCTGACAGGAGGGAATCATTATCATGAGCCGGCCCTGACTGCAAGTAACCTCCGACAGTTAGAGGAACAACAGTTTCAGCAGTATCCCACAAATGGGATGACCAATGGCCAGACAGGTAAGTTCGAATGTCTCTGTATATTTAGGTGATATAGTCTCAGGCATGAATTGGAAAATTTTTGTTTCATGTCTTATTTTGTCACAATTTCTAATTTAATCAAATCCATCCTTTAACTACAGTGTAGAAAAACATCCCCACATTCAGATAATTTTTCCTTGTAATATTATGTAAAGCCAATTTTTATTGTTAATAAGCAAGGATTATATTGACTATAAATAAATTCCTGGTACAGTGTATGGCAAAAAGAACCCAAAACTTACCTTGTCTTTTACATTGATATGTGATGCAGTTTTAATGGCCTGCTTTATATAGAAAGTTTGTAATGTGTAGCAGCCTGATGTTCATTTACAAAGAGAAAAAATGTTCTCTGAGATACATATATGTACAAATTATTTGTAAATAATTTAATTTAAGTTGTAACACTTCATTTGATTGGTTTAACGGTTTTATCCATTTTGTATAACATAACTTGCCTACGTCACAATAAGTTACGTCAAAAAACGTATTATTACTCCGCTTGACGTTAATTTTAAAATAACACTCAATTTTAAACCTTTTTTCCGGAAGAAATGTCTTATTGTCTACCCTAAAATTAAATTATAAGGAATAAAGAATAACAAAACATTCACTGATAAACCGTCGCGGTTTATACAAATTATGTGTAATTAATGGTATATTCTTTATATTACAGACTGGCCTGATTACACGAGCTCGGAGTCCGAGGGAGAGAGTGAGGTGGAGGCGGTGGTAGGGAACCACCACCCAGAAACTGACCCCGAGTCCAGACTCCAACCCAGCATTCCAGAACCGGAGGTCCACCACCATCACCACCATCATCCCGTGGAGGAATCGCCAACTAAAGACAATCAAACTGCAAACAAAATCCTCCATCTTCTCTCAGAAATCGGACATTCCAATCTTATTGACCATACTATGGAAGATCATATAGACCATAACTTCTTACCTTGTAAATACTGCAAAGGCCAGGTTTATATAGTATGAGAGAAAAGTAGACCTGCTAGGGCATAACCATTTGTTTTATATATGCACCATCGAACATGTGCAATAAGGTCTTTCATTGATGTACAAAATAGTGCATGTGTTAATTAATTTAATATTAGGTCCTTTCTGAAAGATTGTGATATTAAGTGCATTTTTTTCCCTGTCAGTATTTCTGCAAAATGTAATGCACAGTTTTGTGAGCATCCATGTACATGTAAAAGGTGGAAAGTGCATGTGGGAAAATCCATGTTATACTTAGATTCTGTAAACATTATCTGACCATCTGTAACTGGTCAAGCCATACTCAGGATTTTATCCAACGTGATATGTGAATGTCGTATTAATTTGTGGGGTGGGGGGGGGGGGGGTACAGAGATGTTTGATACATGGTGATGGAGCATAGTAAACTGAGTGATCTACAGTTATTATATATGAGTTCAGAATACTTCACTTCAGACCAGAATATACATTGTACGTCTATGATTTCGCTACAATTTTCCATTTTGATTTGGAATAAATCTACAGAAAGGCCAATTTGGGGTCTTTAAATTTTGGCACATATATTTCTTTGTAACTAATTAACTAAGTATAACCAAGTAGTGTAACAATACATTGAGAAAGTGAAACATGTATGTACAGACATGGTGAATTTAGTTAGAAAACATTCCATCAGAAATCTAAGACTTATTTCCAGCTTCCTTCTTCATATTAAGTGAAGATAGGTGGGGCTAGTGAAACTATGGCTAAAATTATATTATTGGCAAACCTGCTTCTTTCAAAATTTCAACTTTCTACAGCAATTTATTTTACTGCACATCATAGGAAAGAAGATCTGTTCAGAAAAGTATTGAGAAAAATTATAGATTTCAAGAACTCTTCATATTTGTTGTTCATTGTATTATTTTCTCCTCTGTTTTGCTTTAATCTTTATTTACATATTTATTTATTAATGTACTGTATATTAAATTGGTTAAAACCAACATTTATTTTTAAATGGAATGTACAGGTACTGGACAAGATATTTTTATCAACAAATATCAACAAAATATTAAATTATGAAAACAAGACTTTTTTAGTCCTTATTTTGTTATGTTAATAGTACAGTTTTGTATTTACAGTCCTTCTTAGAGTCTTCAGTGGTAATTCAAAACAAGAGATGAAAGGGCTCTGTATTGCTCTTCATATAAACAACAACAAAGACACTTTGACCTTTATTTCATAGGCATTGAAAGAATAAGGGGGGGGGGGGGGGGCTAAACCAACAAAAAATAATTGGTGGGTTATTATTCTGAGGATGAAAGGCAAATCAACTGATGGCTGATGGGGTTTAATAATTCTAGGTATACTTGTCTCTAACTAAAAAGAATAAGAAGTTCAAGGTCCAATAACTTTCTAGATTTGCTGATGATGTGTCATTGTGTGTATGTATATGTTATAATAAATTAAAAAGTTTCAAAATGTTAAGACATAAAAAGTGCAGGTCACAGAAACCATATATCAAGGTCAACATATTACACAATGCCACAAAAAGCATTAACTGTGTTTGCTGGATCCATTTATGGGTATGTTGGGGGAGGTGGGAGTGAATTGGACAATTTAGAATCTTCACTACCCAAGGAGGCTTCCACTCAAGTTGCAGCTTTTCTGGCCCATTGGTTCATCATAAGATTTTTAAGGATTTTTCCTGTATTTCAATGTAAAACTTGGATCCCGTATTGTGGCCTTGCCCTATCCCAGGGAGTCATGATTTGAACAATTTAGAATTTACACAACCCCAGGATGCAGGATGCTTACACTTACTTTCATCTTTTCTGGCCCTGAGGTTCTTGAGAGGAGAATTTGTTAATGACCCCACCCTATTTATGTCTTGTCTTGATTATCTCCCCTTGTACTGGTGCTTCATTTTAACAATTCTAACAATTTAAACTCAACTTTATTTAAGGATGTTTTATACCAAGTTTGGTTAAACTTTTCTTTATCCAAACTTCTGACAATCACCATATCAGCAAAACTCTCATGTTGATAGTTGCAGAAGGGGATGTCTTAAAAACATTGCCAGAAATATTATAATCCTTTATTTCTAAAGAAATGGGTGCATCATTATGTAGCAATCGACATTTGATATGACCAACAAGTTCCATTCAAATAAAAAAATTTTACCACCTATATGTGTAATATTTCAATTATTCACACGGACCCATATACAGATTCAAAGATTTTAGAGTGAAAAGTCATAGACATTGTTACTTCCTTTTTTTTTTCACAACCAAATGCCACTAAGTGTACTGACAAGGTCAGTCAGCTTTTACTATGACCTCGGTTTATATGGTTTCATCTGAAGGACCAGTCTCAAACCCCCACTGTACACCTGTAACGTAAGGAACAACTCCTTATTCTCAACTATTTTGAAACATTTAACAACTGCACCATGCAGGCAACTCTTAGCGTTTGAAATAATGAACTAGAATATTTCGAAAATGAATAGCCCTAAAATTCAAAAAATAGGTCAAAGCCATAGCTCAGCTGATTCTCAATTTTGGTCAATTTACAGAGGAAAAATCTTAACAAAATTCATTACATTCTTTTATTATTTTTTTAATTCCACACAATAAAATTTAATTAAAAGCATTTTGTATTTATGACATGAATACAATGTATGTTTTGTTGCTGCGTTAGTCAATTCACACCTTGTTTTTAATCTACATGTTTATGTACATCTAACAAGTGACAAAATCAACGTTACTACATCTAAAACATTAATGAAAACAATGTTCCGAGATTCAATATCTTCATTCTTTGATTGGACCTCCAGAAAAGCACAGCTTCATCACATATGGGCTTTTCCCAGCTAAAAAACAAAAAAGAAAAAAGTTTTAGTAATATACTATAAAAATCACCATTTATTAGAGAATATTTACCCGTTTTGGCAGTAGAAACTTTAAATTAACGAAAAATGACTAATTTTAATCAAATTAACCTAATACAAATATTACTGTTGTCAAGAGTCAGAGATTATTTAACTTGAGCTTGTGATGAAACATTCAAATACAAATTATCATAACCCTATAGACAAACAAAAGATACAACTAGCTACTGAAAGATTTATAGCCTTTTCTCCAAAAAAAAGCTCTTAAAGACAAAAAAATTGATAAATTAAAAAAAATATTTATAATACTTGTGTCCATATTAACAGACCTGGATTAGGAATGGAGGAATGATTTGCCAGGATGAGGGCCTCCAAGGCTTCCGATTTGGACTCAAACTGGAGCAGTCCGGATGAACTTCTCTCACCTACAGTCCAAAGGGATCAATATTAAAGCAAGTTACTGATAATATCAAATAATTAACATTGCAAGAACTGTATCTACAATTTCACGAGACAGTTCTGACTCAATAAACTTTTGCACATTTCTTGTGAATAAATACAAGTTATTCCCACAGGTACTTGTGAACAGGACCCCTCCCCCCCCCCCCCCCCCCCCCCCCCCCGATATTCAACCCGGGGGTTATTTGACATATTTTTTCACAATTTATATTTATTACATTTATTCAACATGTTTGCAACAGGAATAAATTGTCAAAACCCCAGAATAATCGCTCCACAAAAAAATACCCCATTGTACATTATGAGAGAAAGGTAAGCAACTACGGTTTGTTTAGATTGTACCCCACTGGTCTTTCCGAGTTTAAAAACATGTATTTATTTCATTTTCACCTAAAATGTCGGTCCACACTGTCTCTACATATATTTCTGTCTCAGTCCATGCTATCGGATTGACTCTGCATCTCATAAGAATCCCACAATTTCTCCTTAAATAGCATTCCAGTCAGAATGTTGAAATTTCCTTAGGTAAACGCAACGGAAGTGCATAGAGAATGTTTCACTTATTACGATAACGTCCGAGAGAGTTTTTGCCTGATGTAATAATCACTCTTGGGTATTATCATAATAGGTAATAGGCACTTTCGTTGCGCTTACCTAAGGAAATTTCAACGTTCTGACTGGAATGCTGCTTAAGGAGAAATTGTCCACAAGTACCTGTCGTGTGGTTATTCCATAGCTAATTATTTATGGGGTTGATTATACATCAAAATGGTACCTCAAATATAATTTCACTGCTGTTAAGTAGCAAAAATGCACCTATATGTGCCAGGTATTATGAAATAAAAATGAACATAAAGTATTAGTTATAAAAAAAAATCACCATACTTTTTGATGCAAACTGCTTTATCTTTGATGGTTTTGTTGCCCCTGCTGTTTCAAAGACCTGAAATAAAAGATTTTCCAAATTACAGTACATTTCAACTTGGTTCACTCTGAGCATTTTGACCTCAGGACTTCTTAATGCTGCATTCATTAAGATGCTAGCTCTTACCTCTGCGAGTTGTTCCTCAGAAATGTTTGGGGGTACATTGAAGTAATGTAGTACTTTGGAGGGTGGCATGATCCTTACAGTTGTTAAGGAAAAAAAGCTTGTATGTATAACATTTCTGATAAATTCTCTTCTAATAAAAGTTTATGTTACAAATACATTTTTAAAATGTCAACGATTAACCATTTCCTCCTAATTTGAATGTAAAAAATAAATGTTTGTTTTGCAACAGATTGAAATGAAATTTGTGTTATCAAGAGGATATGATTTTTGCTGGCTGCCTCTGGGTTTGCGAATCTGTTGTTCCTACTTCCCATGAAGTCTTTAAATGACGGTGTGCCATCAGGTAACTCATAAGGGTTCATCACATCTTGTAGAAAAGCTTGCTTGGAATGTCTGTTTAAAAAAAGTTATTATGCATTGTTTATTCAAACTTTCAATTTTTATGCTTAGAATAAACCTAGCTCTTTCACAAAACCTTTTTTTTTTAAATTATAAAATATGAGAGGGCAGCAATAAATTCAATCACACGTGGAATTTTTCCTTCATCTCCTAGTTGGCACTAGCTTCTCATGTATATAATCAGCTGAGAAGATGAGAATACATTTGTAACTTATTCTAAGTAATTCTCTCACCCCAGTGTGATCTTGTTCCCAAACAATGTGATGTAGTTCAGATTCTGCATACATCTCTCCACGGCCAGAGAATCTCCCAGCTGTACCATGGCTGATCCCTCTTTGCTTTTCAAGAACTTCACCTACAAAAAATATTTTTTTTATAACATCATTGTTTGGGAATTTATTTCGAAGTTCATCTGTGTTTATGTACATGTACCAGTATTTGTATAAAAATTAACATGATTTACATACAAAGTAAAGATATGTTGTATGAATGTTTTCCTTCTTATTCCTCTTGTAAATTTCTCTTACTTCAACATGTAAAGTTAAACTTGCTGCAGATACATGCATGAATATAGAGAAATCTCAAATTTGTATGTACTGGGTACAGAATTATGCCATACAGTACATTTTGATGAGTCATACTGCATTGCTCCCCTCCCCTACCCCCCCCCCCCCATCACCCCCCCCAAAAAAAAGGGGGGGTAGGGAGGCTAAGATACTTGTACCCCTGAAGTTCACATACCCTGACAATGTTTCCATACAGACAAAACAGATTGAAGAGCTTGTCACAGTTGATCATGTCTGGATTCAGTCCATACACCATCAGGACCGACCCCTGGAACATGGCCCCGGGGGGAGGGGGTCCCTGATCATGGTAACCCTGGGATGGCATGTTTGGATGACCATATCCTCCCCGGTCCTGTAACAGAAATAATGATGAAAAGCGTTAATTTTGTAGCCAGATTTACAGCATATGCATGACACAAGAATTGCAAATTAGTTATTAAATAGTGTATATGTATTGTATTTTGCTTCATCCTTATTTAAATTTCCATTTTACAGTTTTCTTTGTTCTTTACACTGTTTTTCTGATACCCTGTATAGCTAGCTTTGTATCGATATAATTTCTCTATTTTATTTTTTTAAAATACTAGAATAATTATTACTAATAATAGGTATCAAAGTAGGTCAAAGATAAGTATGTACGTCAACAAATCTATATCCTTCTTATATTAAATGTCACGTATAGAAAAAAAAACACATAATCAAGTCACTGTCATTTGTAGAAATAAATGATTTTTTTTAAGTTGAATTAACAAGGTCGGTCACAGATTTAAAAAATCGGGGCCATATTAAACTAGTTTTTTTTTTTGGTTTTTTTTTGCGTCTTCACTCTTAATATACAATAGCAATATCCTACTGATTGGTATTTTCTAATATCATATTATCTGATTAATAAGTACATTTTTGCTAAAAATTTTGAAATAATGTTGAAGATTTAAAGTTATAGTAGTCAACACTGTGATATTTTTTTTTCAAATGTCTTCACTCTTAATTATCACAATGGCATAAAAATTCCTCCAAGTTATTGCATCAAATGTCAATGTCATGGAATCCATATTCATAGCATACGAGGTTCGTTCAAAAATTACGTGGACTTGTTGCACAGAAAATATATTTGACGACATAATCGGGCAAAATGTCAAACATAATATAAATAAAAGAATCTTTAAATGTTGTAAATTGATATCAATTTTTGGTGATTTATCAGGACATATCTTGAAGTCACGGAGGAGCAAAATCTTTGTCGTCATGAACATTATAAAAAAAATATGCGATTTCAGTTCATTTTCTCAACATTTTCCCAAGAATTCCTGTACAGATTGAGTTAGCTTTTCTACTCAACATCCATACACCATTTCCTATCAAGTTTAAAATCTATAAAACAAGTACCTGGGTAAAGCATATTCTTTTTTTTTTTAAACCAAAGACTGCAGGTACTTATGAGATATAGTGTGATATTGGTCAGTCTTAATCATGTTTTTTACAGTCCAGATCAAGTTTTTGTCAATAATCTTCTTCCGTATAGCCTTTTTACAGAGGTCTAATGGTCAAAAATCATAGTTCCAATTTACTATTTGTAGACAAATGTCAAGAATACTCTAGTTTGCTACACATTTTATTATGCATATTTTGGATCTATGTTGATGATTATCTCGAGCATTACACATAATTTAAAAAAAGTTTGGTGTGCCGTCAATTCAGGAGACGTCATTTTCACAGGAATTGCATCGGAGAAAAATCCCTATATTTCTTTTAGTACTTCATTTATCACATTAAAAATCTTAATACATAGTAATAGAACACTATAAAGATACATTTCATTTGAGAAAATTGTCGAAAAATATCGTGAATTATAGAAAATTAATGACTTAAATTTTGGATTCCACATGCTTTTGTTTCAAATTTTTTTGTCATGCACCGTACCTCTCCATCAGCGATATCAACACAGCAATAATTTTGGGAGAAATTTTTAAAAGTACAGATATTTTGCCCAAAATTTATTGGAATCTTTAAGATACATCTTTCTGTGAAATTTCATATCCATATGACGCCTGTAAGAGTAAGTAATAGCAGAGTCCGCGTAATTTTTGAACGGCCCTCATATTTGGAAAGGTCTTGTCATGGGTAATGTACATGTGAAATATGAAAGTCCTATCTTTTTTTCTCAATCAAAAGTTAGGACCAAAGTTAAATTTTTTGTAATAAACAGACTGGCAGACAAATGAGATTTAATGTCCCCTCACTTTGGCCAAAGCAGGGAACAAGAAACAGGGTTATTTTTGCCAATCTTACTTTCACCTTTTTAAGCCTGAAAAAAATTTCGCTCCATTTTGAATTCACCCAGGCACAGTTCTGTTGTTTTCTTTGAATTTTCCCCATTTTAAATTAAGTTACATCCACTTGCAATGAGGGAGAAAGGGTCAAAATTTAAAAAGGGCCAATTTTTTCCTGTATACAGGATACAGACATGAACACAATGATTACTAAAAGGACTCCCTAACCTAGTAAAAGGCCCTACTTGATGGTTCCTCTATTTTAACATCAAACTCTTGTCACACTTGACTCACCTGCATTGGTGGCCCCTGATTTCCAGCAAACCTGTCTCCTCTGTTGTCATAACCCTGTTGCCGTGGTGACATAGGTGTTCCATAACCATCACCCCCTTCATAGCCCCCACCGTAGTTAGGGCCGTAGCCCCCGCCCCCATAACCTCCTGAGGGGCCACCTGCTGGGTACCCCTGTCCTGGGCCTCCACCATAGCCCTGGTTAGGGCCCGGGGGACCACCTGATCGCCCATCTACAAACAAAAGCCAAAATCAACCAAGCAGAACAAAAATCAAGTGAAAGGTATGCAGTTTCTAACATACATTATGAAGAAAGTCCAGTGAAGAGAAAATGGTTTTCATATTTTTACGTGTTTGAAAAGCTCTGACTTAATAATATATTTGTAAATAGGACTAAAACTTTAGACTAATTAGAACTTTATGATCCAGTAATTCAGTTTCTCTCTGTTCTGTTCTTCATTGGATGATATCTACAGTAAAACTTAACTCTACAGTGCAAACTAATTTCTGTATGATAAAGATTAAGAATGCATCGAAACTTTTTCTCCTTGGAACCAAAACTAATCTATGCAAAATTACAATAGGAAGAAAGACTGTTAATCTAAAATATAATATTACTGATACATGTATGTCTATTTGAAAAGCACTATACATGACAACTAATGACTTACCGTATGGCATCGGTGCATTGTTGTATCTGGGAGCGGCTAGCAGTGGTCCGTTACGCTGAGACCCAGTGTCTTTTTCTAGGAAGGAATGAGAATGTGCCAGAAACTTAATAATCATTTTAAGGAGTATATTCTTGTATCATATTTTTAATGCATATGAATACATTTTGACAGAATCACATGATAATTTATGATGAATGACAAGAAATTGATTAGCAACGTTCATATAACCTGCATTATAATTAGGTTTAACAACATTCATTATTTATAACAATGCTCACCTGATTGAGACAAAATTTTAATCAACAAGTGAATTTTTTACTGAGAGATACCTTAAGCTAATCTTAATCAGTTGTCCTTTCACAATTAAACCAAGTGAATAATGTACTGAAATTTATTTTTCATTCTGACATTTTTTTTACACAAATTATTTTGGGGCAAAAGAAATCAAGTGTTAGCACTAATGATTGCTGCTGCTCTTTTGGAACATTACATCATGTTCTGAATTCTGACAGCAATATTTTGATTATCAGATATTTCTGATTCAAAAGCTAACTGCTGTAGCTAACTGATAATCTTTTAATTCAGAAGGAATGTTTAATCCCCCATTAACTAGAGAATGGGTACATGTACATCTATAAGTAGAATGATCCCATTATTAGATTTAACCTAAATTTCTTATAGAAGAATATTTGTCAATCTCTGCTTTGAATATACCATGCAGCTAACCTCTAAGAAGAAATGCTAAGTTTATGCATGTACAAACACTAAACAAACAGCAAAAATGATCAGAAAACCCTCATCTGGGTAAGGCAATGTGTTGAGGTTTTCTTGCATTTCCTTTTACAATGTGCTGTTTACCACAATATCTGCATGTATTGATGAATTAAACAATGATACTAACATTTACTTAATTTGTCATTTTAAATGTTAGTAAATACATGTAGTATATGGTGTAATTCTTTCCTTTTGATTCAACCATATGCATATTCTTTCCCAAAATAAACATATTAAGCAAATTATTACATGAATATATAAATGTGCATGTACAAAAAACATTTTTTTTCTCTTCTTCTGATATCTGTTATAAATGTACATGTAAACATGGTAAATAAAAAATGTAACATGTTGTTTTGCTATACTAATATGTATATACCATGGAAAATGTGTACAATGCAAGTACAGTGTGTAATGAAAAATTTCTGCATCATTCAGAACAATGATTGGAAAATAAACATTTGAATGACAAAACCTTTGTTCTAGCAGATTTACCAATACACAAACCACTGTTGATTTAGCTGGGTAGTTGACAATTCCCCACCTTAAGTTGAGGAGTAAGTTAGTAGAATACTCCATTGAGTGCTGGAGAACACAGTTGCACACAGTTCCTTTCCAAGAATCCAGGCGAATTGATGAAAACCTTCTAAAGATTGAATAAGTCATTAATACAATGCTGGGTAACTGCTTATGTTGTGACTGCATGGCGTGGTCTTTTGATGTGTCTTTTAAATACTAACATGACTTGTCAACCCAAACTAACAAAGTTTTGGTAATTATGAAGTGTTTTCTCAATTTAAAGGACCTTTTAAACTAAAGCCGCAAAGAGATTCAATGGGGCTAACACAGGTTTCAAATGCAGCATTTTACTAAATTTTTGTGCAATGTCCGAACATTTTTCCCCATATTTTTGTGTCAAGTTCTTTGTGGATAAGCAGAGAATTACATGCCACCATAGTGCATAAGTAAACTTCTTTACATTATCAAACGTCTACATAATTACATATATTTGCATACAAAATAGATTTCCCCTTTTAAAATAAATGCATTCTAATTTAGCCCATCCCCTCCATTTTTAAACAAAATCATGTTAGTATTTCTGCTGATTTTTGTAAATTGTAAATTGTTGACTTTATTAGGTTTGTTTGATAAATCCCATTGTATAATGTGTTCAGTCTTCTGTGGTTTCTGAATTGTGGATCTGTTTTGATTTGCTGTCATCTGTTTATATTTTGTTCACTTTTTCCCTGTGAAATCTTCAGTGTCTTTGTGTTGAACATAGGATATCCATGAATAAATACATGTTGTTGAATGGTGGGATCATAGAAAAATCATTTTTTTAATTACTCAGCAATCATGTTTCTAAGATTGTAAAAATGTGTAGTATACATGAACATCAGTCAAATAAATAAAGTGCATAATCGTCTGTACTATTGCATCTGTCAAAATCTATCATAAATATAAAAATCTTCCAATGAAAATATACAACTTTAATTATTGTTTTAAGTGTTATAAAACTCAGGTAAAATATGAACATCTTTACAGGAGAAAATCAAACTCATTAGACATGTATTGAATGTATATACATGTACTCCGGTAGGTATTGTTTATATGATAAAAAAAAAATGTTCTATTGAAGAGTAAAGAGGATTTATAGAAAAAATGTCCCTATCCCAATAAAAGAAATCTTTACATCTAGACTACAACACCCCACCCCCCATATAAATCATGAGAATTTTGTGAAAAGATTTAACTACTGACTACATGTATGTTGCATGCTTGGGCAGATACTGGTAAACATATTTTACAGAGGTGTTAAAATTGTTTTTGTTCTAATATGATTTTCCTCTCGACTCTTTAAACAAGAAGTTGGGGTTACTACAAAATACTTAAAAATACTGAATCACACGTTTTCTGTTAAAGTTGTCTTTATGTAACTATTTGTAATTACGATTATAATGAACACAAGTGCTAAGATATATATTTCTTGTAAATTAAAATGTACAATAGGAAATCTGTTGAAATACAATATGTACATGAACATAATTGTAACCTAAATTCATTCAATTCAGATATAGCCAAGGAAACTAAAACATTTTTTTTTGATTGACAAAAAACTCAAGAAATATAATGTGCATGTAAGATTGCAGTGAATGCTCACAATAAATTCTGAACATTTAATACATGTATGTACAATAATGATTGTGGAAAAAAATCATTTACAATCCCCAACTTGACAATCTTGTACATGTACTGTATGCATAAAAGAAAAGGTAGTTGAACATTTCAATGAAAGTTTCTATTGGATCTCAACACAAGGCGTAGAATTTATTTTATCAATATGCAAAATTTTATGTAATATATATAGATAAGGTATGAAAATACATGTTCAAAACTATTTTTTGAAAAAATGCAATTAATATTTGTAGTTTAATTTCAAATATATTAAGTATATTGTGCATTTTCAATAAAATCTTACCAGGCATGGGCTGTGTATAATCCCAGCTTTCGCTATCATTGCGAAAAACATTCAAACGAGTAGGCTAAATCAATGAAAATATAAGAATTCATGAAAAAAATTATGCCATAAATCTAAGACTAAATTACCACCACAATCATTTTATTCAATTAATGTCCATTATAGTGTTAATTTTTAGCAACAATTATCTAGACCTTTGAATAGGACAATATATGACTTGATAATTATCAGAGGAGAATTTTATCCATCAAACTTTATTGATATTTAAGACACCCAAGTCTGACAAGAATTTTTTTTCAAGAGAGTTTGAAGTTGACTTTCAAACACTCATCTCACCTTAGCAAAGTCAATTTTCAGGGTACAGCATCCAGAATATATGTCCGCCCCATTCAGGTTTTGCTTTGCTCTTTTGGCTGTGTCCACAGAGTCAAATGTAGAAAGCGGTTAAGAAAAAACTCCAAATCATTTCAATTTAAAATAATAAAAACAAAAAGATGCATTAGATTTTAAAATTTTCATCTAACAACAGCTGTTTTTTTCTTGCAGAAGTATATGTATCCCTGTGGAAAATTTCCATATTATGGTTCCAAACCTACAAAACGATGCTTGTGAATGAGTTAAACTACTCAAGATCCTGCTGTTTTTGATATTCACTACACTACATTGTGCACAATACACATTCAAATACTTTTATCTTGATAAATATAGGTAATGAAATTACATGTATGTTCAACTGATACTCAGAAAGTAAATTTGTCATCAGATTAAGCTTGTTTTTATTAGTGGTTGAAACTCATTCTTGTGTTTCTTTAAAATCATTTCTTAATTTATAAATCAAATCCTAACAACAAACATCATTAAATTTTTAAAAAATAAATCAATTATACAACCTTTCTACATAAGGGGACTGATTGTGGATTTTGCAGATACATGTACTCACGGAAATATTTCTATTTGAGAAAAATATTTTAAATCTTAAAATAAAGTTCAAGGGTCATAAAGTTTAAACAGTGAATGCCAGTTGAAAAAAGAACAGAAAGGATATTCCACCATTGCCTGTACTCCATTTTTCTTAAAGATGACGATCCTTTGTACCTGTCCATAGGGACTGCAAATGGAGTGCATCACATCCTGTAAATACAGATATCAAAATCAAATGGAGTGCATCACATCCTGTAAATACAGATATCAAAATCAAATGGAGTGCATCACGTCCTGTAAATACAGATATCAAACTCTGTAAATACAGAAATCAACATCAAGATTTCAAACTCTAGATTTTCCTCTTGTAAATAGATTTTTAAAAATATTAGAATTTTGATTTTAAAAAATCTAACTATTTACTCCTCCTTCTAAATGAAAATCCTTCTTGAATCTTGATTCTTAAAAGACAGCTTTAAATGCTCCCATGTACCGGGTAACGACAAACATTTTGTCTAAAGTCATGTATTGTATCAAGTTTTTTTTTTATCACAGAGCAGTTTTCAAACATCCACATTTAATCCATATAATGATATCAGATTAGTGTTTAGTGTTAATTGTCATTATCAGAATGTTATTACATGTACAAACCACTGAGATGGGATACTGTGGGTTCAATACTGTGAACAACAGAATGTGGTTTCCTGCTCTGTGATCATCTCCACCTCTGAAAATTTAAAAACAGATTTAATAAAATTTTATTGTTAAAATTCAGTTAACAGCTTTTTTGTGCAATCTAGAAAATAAATGATTTCAATTCAATTTCTAAAATAACTTGAAAAAAAAAACATTTACTAAAATACTCAGTGTTACAAAATTAAATATCAAGTCATAAAACAAATAAATACAATGAAATATTTTACAAGATATTTATTTTTTTAATTTCCATTAAG